TTTTCTTCTATTTTGTAAACCTAAAACCTATTAGGATTCAAGACTGATTACAGTCTTGATCTTCTACTAGAGCTATTCTGGCTAATTTTGAATTGTTCACAGGCGTGAAGATGAACCTAGCAAAAGAGTACAATATTTGGAGTTGGGGAGGTCAGTAGAGAAGTAATGGAGGAATGTACTGCAGCCTTTGAATGTCAAGTTGGTGAGATCCCATTTCACTATTTGGGTCTGCCGGTTGGGCTTAAGACCACTTCAATAGCTATTTGGAGGCCAATCATTGAAAGAGTGGAGAACTCAAAAGGTGGAAGACTAAATACCTGTCTTTGTGGGGAAGAATCACGCTGGTTAGAAGTGTTCTCTCAAGTATTTTTTTTTTATCAATAAGTGTCCTCTCAAGCTTACTGACCTACTACATCACATTACTTAAGATTCCAGCAGAAGTGGCAAAGAAAGTTGAAAAATTCAAAGAGACTTTCTTTGGGAAGGCTTGGGGGGTTCAAAGAAGTTCCATCTAGTCAGTTGGGATAAAGTGTGAAGAGCAAAGAAGATAAGGGGTTTGGGGATTAGGAGAGTGAGAATTTTCAACAAAGCATTGTTTGGTAAATGGCTATGGAGATTTGGTCTAGAGAAGGAGAGACATTCCCTTTGAAGAAGAGTGGTGGTTGAAAAGTATGGAGTGGTAAGATTTGGGTGGGAATCAAGGGAGGTGTCTACTTCTTTTGGGGTTAGTGTGTGGAAAGGAATTATGAAGTTCAAACAAGAATTTAAGAATCTTCCTCACTTCTTGGTAAGGAAATGGTGCTAGGATAAGATTTTGGAAAAATGGTTGGAGTGTAGTTGGAATGCTAAGGGAGTTATGCCCAAGATTATTCAGGTTGACTGATCATGATATCACTATCAGCCAATGCTATGAGATGAGTGGGGATAAGTTGATATGGAGTCCTAAATTAAGAAGGCATCTTCTGGATAGAGAGGCGGAGGAGTGTGTTAAGCTGTAGGAAGTACTGGAAAACTCAAGGTGTCAAGTTCTTCAAGGGATGAGTTGTGGTGGAAAGAATGCAGGAATGGGAGGTTTACTGTGAAGTCCATTTATTCAGCATTATTAAGGGTTCAGGTGGATGCAAACAGGTGTGAAGGTGTGTGGGGTAACCCCGTTCCTCCATTGGAAGAAGCTTTTGCTTGGCTGGTGGCTATGGATAGCATTTTAAGTTTTTTTTTTTTTTTTTTTGTTAAATGATATAAACTTTATTAGAACACAGTTAAGTACCACAAGATTACAGAGTACAATCAGTGGAGGCGCGAGATGCAGCCCCAGCCATATAACCAGATTACAACTGAGCCCAGAATAATTCAGAGTTTCAGACTTATGCACCCCCTGTTTTGCAAAGAAATCAGCCATCCCGTTATCTGACCTCCTTTCCCATTGGACTGAAATTGTCATATCTCTGACCAGCCACTTAAATCTTTTCCTGTATTCTTTGTATTACCAAATTACGGTTTCAGGTTCCTTCAACCACCCTATTACCAGTTTAGAGTCACCTTCAATTAACAATCTATCATAATTTTAATCTCTAGCAAGCTTTACTCCTTTCAGGACAGCTTGGAACTCTGCAAAAACCGAGCCCTCTACTCCAACTGGACCTGAGAACACAGTAATAACATGACCATAATAGTTTCTAAAAACTCCACCTATACCAGCCGGGCCTGGGTTCCCTAAGCTGCTGCCATCAAAGTTCAGTTTGATAAATCCTTCATCCGGTGGTTTCCAACCCACAACAGGTTTACTCCTTGTAACAGAACTTCTAGCTACAGCTTCCAAATTTCTCCACATATCATCAAAGGAGAAATCAGATCATCTTAAACTCAGAGGTTTCAGCCTGGCGAATGTGTGTTTGATGTGCAAAGAGAATAAGGAAACAATATTTCACCTGTTCTCTTGTAGAATTGCTGGTTTCTGCTGGAGTTTTACTCAGCTCTTTTCGGAATGCAAGTTTTTCAACCAAGGTCCCCGGCCGATATCTTTTCTAAGTAGCCACCACTTAGAGGAAGTAAGAAGCTAAGGTGGTGTGGACATTGATAACAAAAAAAAGCTAAGGTGGTGTGGAGCTGTATTCGGTTCGCTGTATGCTGGTCCATCTGGAGAGATAGGAATAGAAGAGTGTTTGAAAATAAGCAGTGGAAGACTGAGAAGATTGTGGCAGCCATTGGAAAGTGTGCCGCAGATTGGGTGTTTATTTGTCACTCAGATTTAGGGACTAATTTTTGGGATGTACTTGAATTGCAAAACTGTAATTCTGATAGCTTTTTTTCACTCGTCTTCCTCAGTGTTTCCTCAACACTCAAGTGATTGTAATCATCTTCTTTTTGTTTTTAATAAATTTTTTTCTATTTACTATAAAAATAGCTGCTTTCAGGATAAAAAACCAACACAAATATTGGACAAATTAATTTGGTAGGGAAAATAACAAATAAAATACTATGGGAGGGAGGCAGAATAACAATTAGATGGGGAATCCATTAGGTAATTCCAGGTCAGTATTGGAATTGGAATCAGAATCGGAATCCCCTGGAATTGGAATTGGAATCGCCTATTCCCAATGCCTGTTTGGTTCAGACAGGAAATGGAATCAGAATCAACCAAAAAGTTCAATTTTGTGCTAGTTTATTAATATTTTATTATTTTATTTACTTTATTATTTTTGTTATATTATTATTCTGTTAGTACTAATGTTTTATTAGTATTTAATAATCAATACCTTAGTACTTTATTATTATTATCTTATTATTACTTTATTATTTTATTAATATCAGGGTTTGGAGGTTTTTTGTCAGGAATTCTTTACTTCTTGACAGACTCTAGAATGGGAATCCCATTCCCAAGGGAGAGCCTGGTGAAGGCTCAAAAAATAAAAATATATAAAAATATTTCATGGCACTATGTAGCAAAAGAATTAGGTGCTTAAGTGATGTGTGTGTGTGTGTGTGTGTGTGAGAGAGAGAGAGAGAGAGAGAGAGAGAGAGAGGGATAGAGGAGAGAGAGAGAGAGTATGTGCTCACCCAGTCCTTCTTTTTTCGGAATTTTTGAACTCCACATCTTGTAGTAGAAAAGATTCCAGCAAAAAGTCCTAAATGTTAAGATAAATTCATAAGCAAACACCAAAAAGAAACCAAAATGACATGAACTAGACTGCAACAAAAGTGAGAACTCAAGATTAACAGCTGAAACTATTTCAGGCATAACAAATAAAGGATGCCATTTTTAAGGGTTCCCATCAAAATCTCATAATTTTGGTGAAAACATTTTTAGATACAAATTTGAACTAAAACCTTGAAATGCATGCTATATAACTTAAAGGTCACATAGTTCATAAAGGTAATTACAAATAACAAAGTCTTCCAACCAGAGAGCTTATCCCTCAAACAAGTGGCATCTTATTTTCTCAAGAAAAAGCATCTCAAAAGTGGTTATTCCTATCTCAGACATGTGTCTGCCCACTCAAATGGTAGTTACCTCCACTAAAAAGGAAAAAAGCTCATTTTAAATGATGTATGATCCATAAAGTGGGGTATTATTTAGAAATAAAGCTTGATTTAATCTCTTTAATTAAATAACAAATCTATACATAAAAAATCAAATAAAATAATAGCCTACATTTACAACATAGAAAACGGGTGTCAAACAAAATTTATTAGAATACATAAATAAAAAATCAGAATATGGTCTCGTACTTAGTATGGGGGCATTGTCTAGTTATGAAATGAAAAGAAAATGGCCAATGAGAAACTACTCAAAAAAAAAATTACGAAATGAAAAGAAGAGTACAAGCTTGTAAACCAACCGCTAAAGTTCATAATAACTAATGGAGTTTGACAAATGGCCAATGACACAAATTGTTAAAAGTTCACCAATAAATCATGGTTATCAAGGCATGGCCTGGGCAACAAAGATTACAAGCTGGGCACCTTATTACATATCATTATGTTGACATATGGTATCTTTCCCTTTTCTCCTGCAATTATTTCCACTAGTTTTTCTTCTTTTTTCACCACTCTCTCTTCCCCACCTATCTCTCTAACTACCTCTAACACTTTTTTGGTATTATAATAGTTGGGGTCAGTCAGGTTAGTCAGTGTTAGTATGGACTCAGGGGTGACGACAGAGCAGGATGCACACGAGGCCCACTGGTCATACCACACAGACCTAGGTCAATTCAACATCTCTGCTTTGTGAGTGATGTCAAGTTACCATCTCAACTATCAGGTCATCAGCCATTTCTTACATTTTTACAGTACCTAAAACTTTAGCTTCATACTTTTGAGATTCAATTGCTCTATTAAATACTTTTTATATTGTAATATCATCATCATCATTGAAGCCTTATCCCAACTTTATGGTATCAGCTACATAAATCCCATTTCACCATTCCATTCTGTTTAATGCCATATCCACTTATTATATGATGATTTAGAATATTGAAATTAGTAGATTTAAATGCTACTTTTGGTTATGATGATTTATTATTTTTTATATGACATCCAAAGTTTTCTAATAAGGAGGATTACTTTTTCTATCCAGATGCTTGTTGACAGTTGACAGGTTCAGAACTAGGAATTGACCTCTCTTCTCCAAAGAGCATCACACAAAAGACATCTCCTCATGTACACCACCCCATCCCTCGTATATTTTCTCTAATTTCTTTGCCACTTTCACCAAGATGTGGAAGGTAGAGAGGAAGTAAATGGGCAGGACAGCCATTGTTGACTTAATTAGTGTTATCCTCCCTAGTCCCTCCTAACGAGATAGGGTTCCTTTTCAACAAAGGAAAATGCAATTTACCAAAATGAAGCGAGTTATTTAACATTACAAAATGAAACAACAAAGACAGAATAAGCCTGTCTAGTGGCATATTCTAGTGCAAGGCGGAGATTTCAATGTCATATATTTAACATTACAAAACCTGTTATTTCCCATTGAAAAGAACTTTGAGAAGACCATGAAACATCACAATAATTATTTTATCAATTATTATACAATGTTCATAGATATTTATCCTTTGTATACCACAAATATGAAACCAAAGATGTAAACTTAATTACAGGCCAAACTCACCAAGTGCACTATGCACCATTCTTTTTTCTAAAAGGTCCATTACCCAATGTTGGTCATAACTATCTAAGGTCTTGGGAGCATGGTTCAAAGTATCAATACACCTTTGTGTATTGGTAGAGGTGTATGGGTACTTTAAACCATACTCCTATTTTTTTAGTTTTATTTTTCAAGTTTCAATTTTAAATATATTTACATATATTATTTAAAAAATGGTTTCTTGAAAACACCTGTAAACAGGTGTATCGGGGACCCACCGATACGATACAATATGCCCGACTTGGTGAATTTCATGGGCTCAACTAAACCACTTGCATTATCTGGGTTCATTAGATATTTTCAAATTCTAACCCGATCAATAAATGGGCTGTTCAGGTTATATTCGTGCCAACCCGATCAAGGTACGGTGCAGTCTAGCCAGAGTTGGGGATCCATTTCTTACCAACAAAACTATGGAGAACCCAAACAGAACAATGAAGGAAAAAAGGAACATGAAATTACCACATTGTAGGCCAAATGTACCAGCTGACTTGACCTGCCCACATCAGTTTCATCCAACATTCCATTTATCCACCAGATAAATATAATGGTTAAATTTGAAATCCAACACATATATTTGGGCGAAATCAATGGGATTGTAAAAATGAAATATTACCACAAAAGAAGCTCTAGCTACACCAGAAAGCCCTACGTTCGACGTTCCAACAAAGAATCAAAACACAATGTCAGTTCAGTTTACATATCGAAACATTGTTACTATGAATGAAAAATTGCAGCCGGAGCTCGGAACTATACGAGCTCGAACATCCAAAATCCATCTGAACCTTTGATTCCTCAAGAACATTGCGGCACAACAGAATCAAATTGAAACCTAACGGCGGTTACTTTCATAGTTTCATTCCATTATTACCTCGTTTACGAGCATCATACGGACCTATACACAACCCCCAAATCAATCCCGCCTGAAACACAAATTAGGTTTCTTCTGTTAAACAACAAGAACATTAACAACAAGAGCATCGACGCTAATTTAAATCATAATTACCGTTCCGACACGAATGATGGAATCGACGGCGAGGGAAGAACAGGGAACGTCGTCTTCTATCTCTCCCTCCATTTTCTGTTTATTTCTCGCGACAGAGTAGGAAAAGAACAATCTGTCTGCCATCCCTTGGCATTCTTCAATTACCAAAAAAACCCCTTAGAATCATAACTAAAATTATTTAAATACCCTTAACTGGAAATGTATTTACTAACTGCCCAACTCATTTGTTTTTCGTGCAAGTGCTACATTTTGCCGCACACCGTTGGATGGTCGTAAAACGGAATACGATTATGTAAAACTCATCCAACGGTCATGATTCTATCGTTTTCTGGAACTTGAAAACCCTACAAAACCCTAAACCTAACTTCTCACAACTTCCTCTTCTCCATCTCTGCGGCGCTGTCGTCTCTTCCTCCACAGCCTCGACGTACCTGACGATCCGACCTGCGCGTAGTAGAATTAGAACCCTTTCTGATTCTCTCACGCGCCGTTTAGCAAATTCGGCGCGTTTTACAGTTGCGTTGTTTGTTCATCTTGGTTTACTCTTTTTTTTTTTTTTCTGTGAATCGCAGAGCTGCCGGTGATAAGCGAAGATGAGTCGCGGAAGTGCAACAGGCCCCAAGGGCAAGAAGAAGGGAGTTACGTTCACCATTGACTGCGCAAAGCCGGTCGAGGATAAGATTATGGACATCGCGTCACTGGAGAAGTTCCTTCAGGAGAGGATCAAAGTCGGAGGTAAAGCCGGTGCTCTCGGTGACTCCATTACCGTCGCCCGTGACAAGAGCAAGATCACTGTTACCTCAGACAGCAACTTCTCTAAGCGGTACTTGCTTATCTTATCTCCTTTTGTGTGTAAGATGTTTATAGTGGTTAAATCATGAGCTCTTTTTGCTTATCTTATCTTTAGTATCTTTTCGCTTTATATTTCGTTTTCTTTTTTTTATTTGTTTGGTCAGTTGGTGTTCGTGGAAGCATTTGTTATTTTGAGTTGCTTCGATGTTCTGCCGATTGATGCATTTTAGATGCTTGTATCAACCAAAGAGGAAACGATTTTGAGTTTGAAATTTGTTTGCTTGGAATAAAAAAATAAATGTTTTCTTGATTGTAATTCAGTTCTGGAAATACCCATTTGATAACCAAAATTGGATGTTTTGTCAAGTTCACCAACCTGCCCTAGTTTTGCTCAAGTAATCCATCCGATTATTCCTAGCCACAAATGAATGCAAGCCACTTTAGACAAGGCACTGTCATTCAAGTGAATGGAGTCAGGAGTTAATCATAAATTTGAACCCCAGGCCCAGAGGAAATTTAGTTTGCAGCTATCTGCACCATTACAAATTTCTCTTTGGAAAAGTTGCAAATAACCAAAATCCTTTTTGAGTAGTTGGATGGTTGAAACTTGATATTTGTAACCATTCTTTTAGAAGGTGTTAGGCGCCTAGAGGCCATTCTCAAACTTCTTGTGGCTCAGTTTTGTATGTTTTAACAGATTATACCACAAAAATCTGTAGATATTAGTCGTGAGGTTAGCTATAAAAGCATGATATCAGCTTATTATATGGGATATTCCTACCCATATCCTTGTTTGGGATATAGGAAATGGAGGGTTATTCCCCATTTCCCATCTCTGTGTCTGTACCCATATCTTTATCTGACTATGTGGACATCATAGGTTCTAATATACATACAAGAATAAGTTAGAGAGCAATTTATAAGACACTGTTTGCAGTGCAAATACGAACTGGATACAAATTTTGCACCCAGTTCAGTTTTGTATCTGTTTGTTTGTAATTATGATTTGAAGTTTTGAACACCTTTCTAATTTAAAATGTGTACTTTTTGCCTCGTTTTCACTCATTCTTGCAAATTGATGCACACTACCTTTTACCTTAATTATCTCGTATAATGATATAAAGTGGGAATCACATCATCTAACTTCCCACCTCACTCCCAAACAAATAACCTTTCCCCTACCTCCATTCTATTCCACATAAGGTGGGGATCACATCATTTTACTTCTCACAAAGAAATAGGACAAATTCAAACATTAGCAAAAGTAAACCAGAATTTACAGTTAGCCTGTCTACACTCCCATGCATTTAAACCAATGCCAAAAGAACTGAGCCTAAGGAATTTCTTTGTTTGTGATTGTCTACAGGGATTTAACAATTTGTAAGGAAGTACCGACCACTTTCTTTGATCAGTAAGCTCATACCACTCTGTAGTGGTTTATGACAGTGTTTAGAAAGCCGGACTGGACTGGCTGGTTGAACCGTGACCTGGGATCTTGACCGGTTTGGTCACGCCCAAATAACCAGACTTGTTCAAAACCCAGTGAAAACTGGCTGGCTAGCCAGTTTAACTGGTGAATCAGCCCCGGTTTCATAAAACCACCTGGGTCCATACATAAGTGGAATTTTAAAATGTTTGTTAACAAGATTTGAAGCCAAGACCTCTTATTTTCATAGATTACTTAATTACCACTAATCCACTTCTTTACTTGTGCCAATTAATGACTCTTTATTATACAAATTGTATTATTATGCACATATTTTAAAGAAAATGTAAATTAAAAGGCTTGAACCTAGTCATTTGTTTTAAAAATTAAGAAACTTACCATCCATCCACCATATGTTAAGTATATTAAAAGTTGTAAAATATATTATATGTAATATTTAATTGATCTGTAGTATATATGTATATGCCATGTCATCACGTTTTGACCTTTGGTTCGACCTCGACCTCGATCGAACCTCTAACCTCTGAACCTCTCCCTTCTTTCGTTCTATGCCCAGTCTGGTTATCTAAAGATGTAATCCAATTAGGCTTAGAGCCTGTTTGGGAGGGCTGAAGCTTTGGTTAAGTTGCTTTCATTTATAAGTCCATTTTCTTTTGCTGAAGGACAGCATGCATGCTTTCTAGGTCTTTCACCAAAATTTCTTATATATGCTGTCCAGGTGGGGTCCACTTCACAAATACCACATGGGTTCTTTTAGAGTATATGTACAGCATTTATACTTAAATATGTAAAGTGATGTGTTTAGCAGACCATGCTATAAAAGATCACTAAACATTAGAAGCCTAATAGAATTTGGCAAAATATAAGTATTGAGAAAAGACACGGTTTAAAAAAACCCAGATATAGAATGATGATATAAGCATTAAGTAGGACACCTGTTCAAGTCTCCGTAACTCGGATCTTGAAAAATGGAAAGTCATGTCCCTGCTCATCGTTTCCTGTGTCTTGCATCCATATATGTGCTTTAGTCTTTCCTTGTCTTCTATTACCTAATTGTCTACTTCAATTTCTCAGCAGATTCTGTTGCAACCATTATACACATTTAACTGATGTGATTTGATACATAAAAATTAGAAATAATTCTTTTCCAAAATTTCTTCCAGGTATTTGAAATATCTGACCAAGAAATACTTGAAGAAACACAATGTACGAGATTGGCTCCGAGTGATTGCTTCAAACAAAGATAGGAACGTATATGAACTCCGCTACTTCAACATTGCTGAGAACGAGGGGGAGGAGGAAGACTGAAGATTCGGATCAGTTTTCATTAGTTACTGGTTATTTCGTTTATAATATTAGATCCTACTATATATTTTTGGGCAAATTCTAAGGTTTACTATATTAGATCCTACTATATATTTTAACCTGGTTTTCCCTTTATGATATTGTTAGATGGATGGATTTCCTCAAATAGAGATCTTACTTGAGAAAAGATATATTTACATTACCGTTGCTGATTAATTGTTACATAGATCCTAACTCGTCACAACTCTCAGGTACTAGACATGTGTATCCATTTCCATAATGGGCGGATGGCATCATGGAGGTGCTGCTGATAAGTAATAACAATGACGGGAGTAATTAGGGAAAAGACCAACACAATGATAGTGTGTAATCTGATTTGAATTTTATAAGGTTAGTTTCAGGGCAAAATCTATGTTGATTAACTACACAGTGAATCAATGATGAAGTAGTAACACATTGCGCTTGAATTTTTTAACATCATCAACAAAAGTTTAAAATATGAACCGATAAAAGGTAAGTAGACGTAGGGTTATCAATGGATTCTGGAAGTCTGATATCCAATTTAACTCTAAATTGGATTATCCTAGATTTCGATCCAATTAATAATTAGCTGTGTGGCTTTATCCCCATTGGATCTGATTAAAATCTTAGTTTGATAAAAATTTATATTTTATGGAGTACAAAAATGCAAATATATAGAGTTCAAAACCTTTTTTTTTTATTATTTTGTATGTATTTGTACTGTATTTGTAATGTATATATTTGCATTTGTACTCTTTCTAAACTGAGCAGTAGGGATGTATAAAGAGTGGATTCAAATTGGATATGATTATATTTGAATTCGATTTCAATTAAATACATGTTTATTCAAATTTGATTCGATATTTGATGGAGCTTAAAACTAGTAAATCGAATTCGAATTTGTCTCGACCATCCAATATCTGAATTCAGTTCAAATTCAACAATGCAAGGGTTTGTAATTCAAACTAGAATAAAACTTGCATGTTGTTGAAGTGGAATAAAAAGAGATTTAATTTAAACAAAATCTAAATCTGTTTGCAAAGGGTCAAGCATTGGAATATGTTAATGAAGTGAAATTTGAAGTGGAATAAAAAGAGAGAACTTTTGTGGTGTCACGCAGGATGGATGGATGACAATGTTAAGATTAATAGGGAAATGAAATAATAATTTTTATTTAATCTTTTAATAATTTTTAAATTTTTAATGAAGTCCAATTACTCTCATTTTATTTAATCTTTTAATTTTTAAATTTTTAATATTTTATCAATAAAATAATAATTTTAACGTTAATTCTAGTACAAAGCCGACGGTTTTCCTTCTCAACTCTTTTTTCATTATTTAGTTATTTAATTTTTTATTAATAAAATATAAAATATTATTTTTTTATTTTTTTAATATTTAAAATAATTTTTTGTAATTATTTAAAAAATACAATTGTTGTCTACTTGTCTACATATTGATGCATTTTTTTAAAATTTATTTATCATGTAAAAGATCTCCTATAAAATGTATATGAGATACATGGAATCAAAAAGTGTGGCATACCTACAGAATGCCACTATGAGTGTGGATTGGTTTGGTCCACACAATCTGTTCACAATTCAGAACAGTTGTGGATTGTGGTGTAGTGTGGATTGATCCCTGCCATAAGATGTGGTGTGGACCAATCCACAACTACCAATTTATCATCCACACTACAGAACACCCCCTAGAACAGCACAAAGGTGACCTTCCATTCAAGGAAACTGTAACAATGGATTCCGTATTTCCATTAGATATAGCATCTCCAAGCCTCCAACTGACAAAATCGGGAAATTTCATGACCTTCACCTGAGAATATGAAAACCACATGGAGAAAAACATAGCAAAGGCCGGTGATGTTATGCACAGCAGCAGCTCCTCCATTCAAGCTTCATAGCGTAAAAGGAGTGAAAATGCATAAAAGAAGAGGCAGGGGAAGTACCCTTGACCGAGGGAAAATGGAGTGACTCTAGAGAGATGTGAAGTATCCTTGACCGAGGGAATGCGGATTAAATTCAAATCCAATTTCAAATCAAACATGATAAATAGATGTGAGTTCTGATCTGGAGGTTTCATTCATATAGGAATATAAATGATCCTAACTCCTATTCATTTACAGCCCTAAGTAGATCATGTGTTTTTACCAAAACAGAAAGTAAACCATGCGACATCGTAGTAGGTTATTGCTTTATTCAATTTGAAATTATTCTTTAGTATCAAAGTTGTTTATAATAAAGTGGGATTTTGAATTTAGCTAAAACTATCTGTATGTAGATTTTTTTATGGTAAATTTCTTAAGTACTCCTATTATTTAGGAAATTGGGTGTTTACATATTGTCTTAAAGTATCTGTAAGTTTTGTAACACTTGTCTAAAACCTCTATTGCCGTTAATTTTCCATCAAACTCCATTATATGTGACATCACGTGATAGATATATTTTCTAAAAATTCCTAAAATATTCTAAGAAAATCCCCTAAATCCATTCCATCTCCTAGAAAAACCCCCTAATGCATCACTTTCAGCTTTCCCCTGCTTCTGTGGGGCGCCAATGTGAGCTCAGAAGAAACAGGATACAGTTCACGACCCAAAGTTCCACCAAACTGTAGAAATGCTCGGACTTCTATCTCCCAAATTACCATCCATCTCTCTTCCAAATTTACGTGGAAAGTGAAGGCCTTCATCTGGTTGCACATATACTCAAAATGAAGGCTTCAAAAAAGTTCAGATTTTGTATTATCTTTGTAGAAATGAGCAGCTTGAATATTCCCATTTCATGGAAGTCTCTAACTTAGCCAACTAACAGCTTCGTCTAAAAGGTATTACTGTTCTTAGAGGTAAAGGCATGTCCATGTCCACTGTTCGCCTAGTCCTGCAAAAGGTATTACTGTTTATTCAATTATATATAAACTTTACTTTCTCTGTTACAGCCTCAGAGATCCATATTTCTCTTTTTTTTTTTTTTTCTGGTTATGATCTATAGGTGTGAGAAAGAAAACCCAAATTGATCGAAATCAAATCAAAATTCGGTTAATCGAACTGGTTGGTCCGGTTTTGGTTTGATATTTAAAAAGATCGAAGGTACGGTTTGATTTCGGTTAACTAAAATAAAAAACCGACGGTTAACCAAATCGACCGATATACATATATTTATATATTTTATGTATATTTATCATGTATATTATATATCTTTTATATATATCTTTTATATTTTTTATACATTATAAATTAATAAATATGTATTATATATATAAATATATATTTATAATATATAATATATTATTTATTTTTTAAAACATAATATAATATTATATATATATATTTCTAGTGTTTTATTATATATTTATATATTTTTATAATATATATTGTAAATAATAAAAACCAATGAACCGGTGAACCGAACTAATAATTAACCAACCGGTCAACCGATTAATTGATCGGCTTTAATTCAACTTCAAAAAATAAACCCATAGTTCAGTTAACCGAACCGTGAAAACCCCTACTAGGAGCTATATGAATATGAATGGTTGTGGAAAGACTTAGCAGAGAATGGCATGACTTGTCCAGCAGTAGGAGCTGAGTACATCCTCAAAAGGGTCTGAGATAATAAAAAGTTACACAGGTTAGTCTCAATCACTTTCCTCACCTTTGTCAGGCCCCCACCACCCTTTACTTTCTCAGCCCCAACAATCATTTTCTTCTCTTTGAAATAGAGAGGTTCCAACAGCTTCAAGTAAGTAACAAGCAGCAAAGAATAGAACTAAACGGTAAAGAGAAAATTACAATGACGTTGACACTTGACAGTGATGATGAGAGTGTGAAGCAAATTAAAGCTCTTGAAAATTTTCATTAATTGGGTTTTATTTTAAAATTTTGAGGAATAGTGGAAAGCAAATTAGACATTTTGTTTTTTTTTTTCTGTTAATGACGATGTCAATTGTCAGAAAACTTAAGGATACTTCAAGACAATATGTAAACATTAAGGGTAAAAATAGTCACTTTACTAAACCATAGGGGTACTTTAAGAAATTTCCCTTTTGCCATTGACCCAGACAACTGAACTGTTCGACCCAAGAACCATCCAGACAACTAGTTCTGTTTTACCCCAAACCCAGTCCCTAACCAAAAACCATTAAATTGGTCAATGACTCGTTGACCCAAACAGTCGAACCATAACCCCGCTCGACTGGTTCAACGGCTTAGCCGTTTTTTATTTTAATTATTATTTTTTTTTTATTTTTTTCCAGAATGGGCCATCCCATTCAAACTGGACGATCAAACTATTGATCCGGAAACCAGGGGCCAGAATGGTTCCGGTTCCAAGTCATTTTTTAAAACATTGGTTAACGTTATAAGCTTATGCTACTGCATTGAAATATCTGGGATATGTAAATTTATGCAGCCTTCACAACTCTGCCACCCTGCTTAGAAAAACAGATGTAATGGATTGAGGAGTGTATTCATCTTCTCAAAAAAAAAAAAAAGGAACCTGAGTGTATTCAGGTGCTGAGATGTCCAGTGTTCTCGTTCTCAACTAAAACTAGAAAAATCAGAACAAGGATAGTAATTTTCTCTTTTCGTCCTCTCTTCTTTGTTAGCAAGAATAATCTCATTAGATAAGTAGCATCTTTTTACAGCAACGGAATAAAGACAAAATCGAATCTCAACCTATGAACACCACAAGACTGCAAGGCACAACCAGAGCAGTATCAGGAAAAATCAAGAATATTGGTTTAACGTCAGACACAACTTAAATACAACCTTTGCTTCATTTTGCACCAAACTATTGGCACAATCTGTGGGTAGTTGTAAGAGGTGCCGGACTGCCGGGTATGCTATTGATGAAAGCGGAAGGATTTGTCACTATCTAACAACATTGAGCACTCCTCTTGCAGTTGCCTGTTAATTAAAAATGTTGAAAGACCATGTTAGGGCTGGTTAATGATCATTCAAATGAGAGGCATTTGGAATTGTTGAAAGAGCTTACCTCAAAGAAGGAATTGAAGTTTAGGCGCAAGAGGAACCGCCTCAGAAATGGGGCACGTTGACTTCCAGCAAGTCTGCTGCTTCTTAATATAGTATACAAGGAATTTGATTTTTTGTTGAATTCCTGAGAAGAGCACAAGAAAAAAATATTGAAAGCAGAGAAGGTTATAGCAGGTTATATCATTGCAAATTGAGTGGCCATCGACTCTCTACTGCTCTGGCGCTCCCTTGTGGGCTTACAGAAAAGCAACCACACACCCACACCCACACCCATGGCCACCTGCTCAGACATGAAGTTGCACCATAGAATTTATAATGCATACCTGAAGCTTATCAGGGTGTGGGACAAAGAAATCTACAGCACAGAGCTGCTCTCTTTCTGGATTTCCCAAGGCACATACGCCATCAGAAACACTAACATGGCTGAGATCTGTGCTGCAGATTCCTCTGGCATACACATAATTTCAGCTCTGCCATGTATACTTTAATCTTGTAACACAAAAGTGTCTTGATGTTACCTCAGTTATCTGTTCCAGTTCTAATGTATTTGCATTGCTGTCATGGTTTTCAATATTCCAGCAGAATTGCAGGCAGAGTTTCATTATACTGTCCAATATCCTTGACACAGATCCAATGTCCAAGAATGACTGCGAAATCAAAGCAGACAAGTATCTGTAGAAAATGTCCAAATTATGTCATCATTCATCATGTACACCAGCACTAATACAACACTAAAAACAAGAAATTCATGTATTTCACACCAGTTAACAAATGCATAAGCTTAAACCATGTACTGCAACATTTATACATCACTAGAAACAACAAAAGCAGAAACTTGGTAAGCCTTGATTGCAAAGTCAGACACCTTACAATCCCATTCTTTACCAATTCACCTTCACCCGGAAAGTAAAATGGTTGAAAACTGTACAAAGACCCTACCCTCAATTAAGGGCCATCAATGCAGTCTTTGATGCAGAAGCAAGATCCAAAACTCTCATCCGTCAGTGTCCATGAAATTTAACTGAACTGATTAGCAGATAATTTCAGAAATTAAACAGAAGAAACAGAGAATGCGACCGATCCAGAAGAAAGTTTATTCTTGAAACAAGTGGCAATTGTTGTAGTCTTTACCATCTACAAATAGGTAAATCTAATCGTGACTTATAATAATGAACTAGGGTAGGATTTCAAAATTAAAGTTGTGCACAAGAGCCAAAATTTCAGTACCTATGAGCGCTGAATTAAGGGCATTGTACAAGCTTTCTTTGGATGATCCATCTTAAATAAAGATGTGTATTAGATCTAGAAGGCACCAACTCATATCAGTTTCAATGCTAATTTGGCATTGAAAGAAACAATTTTTCCCTGGTCCACAGTTCACAGGTATAAATAATTCATGCTCTCCATCATCTTTACTTGAGCATGAATGTGTGTATTTGTGCATTGACACTAACACAGTTCTGCCAGTTCAGAAATAATTTTGTGCGACCGTAGTTCTTCATATACATTCAAGTAAACCCACCCCAACTATTTATGGCCAGATGGACACATCACATAGCAGTTCCATTTTGTCTAGAGCTAAGTCCTTTATCACTATTTCCAGGAAAACCCTTTGTCTTTTTCTTTTCATTTTAATATCGAGATCATCAGAATCTTTTAAATAAAAAAAAAGAGAACCAAGTTGCAAGTACAAGAAAAAATGGCAAACAAGACAGAGGAGCACAGATCTTCTGTGGCATTCACAATTGGCCATTGTGGTGAACCCAACGAATTCAATGATGTGTCTCAAAGCCTGTTTTGACAGTTTCTCACATGTGAGAACTTCCCATGTTAAAAAATGGATCTATGACAGCAATAAAGAACAGATCATGGTGTTATGACCAAGGTTCAAAATATTGATACGCCCGATACGCCGGTAGGGGCGTATCAGGCAAATCGGTACCTTTTTCTTTACTTTTTTTTTATTTTTTTTCAAAATCGGTTCAGGGGGGGCAGTTTAGAGCTCCTCCACCCCCTGAACCGGTCAGACCCCCGATACACCCACTGTACAGGTGTATCGGAGAGGTCCTGGAACGATACGTATCGGCGATACATGTCAATACTTTGAACCTTGGTTATGACTGGTGGAATCCCCGTGATAACTTCCAAAGTTTGTATCTCTCTGACATCCCTCTAGCAACTTCTGGAAGCACTTACCTCTATGGATCATCAAAAAAACCTGTTACAGTGGGAGGGCAAATTCAATTAACTCCCAAGAACGCCTCAACTAGCTCATAGAGCACCTTCCCCACCATCAGCATTGATTCCAAGAACATCAACAATAACCAGAACAAAGCCATCCATCTTTGTGGGAAAGCCTCAGTTCTCATTAGGCTGATTGGTGAAATCAGCAATCTTGGATAGACAATTGAAACAATTCTCAGTTTTGTCTTTGATGTTCTTGATCAAGATTCTATCTCATTCTTGAGAGGTCATCAGAAAGATGCCAGAGGAGGTGGTGGTGCTATGAGGGAGTCAGACCAGATGATGTTGCCTTACCGTTGTCAAGTCATTGCTGAATGCTGGAGCAGTCATAGGTATCTTTGGTGCATAGGCTGATGGGTGTTGTCATGTTGAGGGAGGTGGCATTTGAAGAAACTTGGAATGGTAATGAACAAATCATTCTTCACCATCTTTATCTTTTTTTCTTCAACAGATAAGATTTTCTTCTCTTTTGAGATTAGTGTTGGAAGTTCAGAATAAGGATTGAGAAAAAGAGAGGGAAGAGTGAAGACAAGTGTTTGTGCAAGGGAAGAGACAGGCAATGTGGATTAATCACAGAAACACAAAACAGTCAAACAAGCATGACCACAGCATCAAGGAAACATCAAGACAAAGTCCCATTTTGGCTATGTTAGATAATGTATGCCCTTAGCTACAATCAGATTGATGTACACTAAGTTTTACATATTAAATAAAATCAGTTCATTATTGTTTTATGTTCAGATTGGTAAGTTTCTGCGAATTACCACTTAAATTGGACACTTATGAAACGTGTTAGCTTAGAAAGTACTCAACCATTGGATAGGCGGAATACCAGAAGGAAAACCATTTACCCTTGGATAGGCGGAATACCAGAAGCAGAAATCGGCGGGATCTAGACCTTGTTGAAGACACTGCTTACTTAGGTGAAGAAGTTAGTTCAGTGAAGGTCTCCAGCTCGTTACAGTGGAGACCCTCGAAGAAGTTGCCGCTTAAGAAACAGGAGTGTGAAGAGCAGTGAGGTCTTCGACTATGATTCGGAAAGATTGAAGACGATGAAGATTTTGCTGTTTCCGGTTCAGATTTTGAAGAAACTGTTAGCTTGGGAAGTATCAATCTCCAAAAGCCAAGAGATATATTGGAAGAGGATAGTCTAAACACCGAACTGTTATTCCTTGAGGAGGAGATGGATCCGCAAGATTCTGGTACTATCAAAACGCAGAGAAGAGTGAGCCTTAGCAGCAGAGAACAGATCTCTCCCAATCTGGGTATGCCATACAAAAGACAGGTGGGGTTGGAAACACCGAAAGAGGTAAGGCAGAGTGCATTCCGACTAATAGAATATGTGCAGCTTAGTCAGGACATCAGGCAAGAGAGACAGGAATCATTCTTGGAGCCTTACAAAAGGAATTACGAGAGGGAAAGAGAAGTGAAGCTTTCTTGACTGTAGAGGGTGAGGAAGTATTGGTTGTACCTAGTCCGCTTCCACAGTTGAGTCCGGAAAAGGGGAAGGGTCTAGCCCTGATTTCAAGAATTGATACCCAGCAGCCAGTCCACATGCAACCACCTATGCTAATTCCAGGTAAGCCTGTCCATTTGAGTTTAGATACTAATTTGGGTTCTCTGCCTGTAACAGATGTCCTGGAATCCCGACCAGACCAACTAATTGGTAGTAAGGAAGTGGCCATTGACAATGATGGAGTCCAATTAGAGAAGAGAGTTGGCTTGTTAGTGTTAAAGTTTGACCTGCCCTAGAATTCTGTCTTGTTCGTTGACTGTAAAGTAAACAGCAAGAAGTAGGAGAGGAAAGAGGAAGAGAGAAAAGAGAGGAAAGAGAGAAAGGCTGGTTCGAATTAGAGAAAAAAGTCATCCCTAGATTCGGCCAGACCTGTTATTATATTATTAACTTATTG